TCGCTAGATGTGCACTGACCACCAGGGGGCAGACACTGAGCATCTGCCTCCTGGTGGTCAGTGTGCTCCCACAGGGAGCACAGAGCACAGCAGCTGGGGCGGGAGAGCTAAGGATGTCCGACTGATGCCTGGACTGTGAGAGGGTGCAGGCCGGGCCGAGGGGACCTCCCCCTCTCCCTCAGTGCACAAATTTCATGCACGAGGCCTCTAGTTTGAAATAAGAGACCAAATACTTTTCCTGCCCAGTTAATGAGACAAAGTTACATATGATCAGAGCTAGTAACATAACATACCTAAATGCTTTATCAACTGTCAGAGCAGCAAATACTATTGACATTCAGAACAGAAGGTCAAAGGTGATAGAAGCAGAATCCACACTTATTGTGTTCCTCCCCCATAAAGCCTGTGTTTTACTTGGTTTGGGAACACATGGAGAGGGAAATGCCTAGCTAATTGGGTTGGTTTTGAATGATGTATTGGATTTGTCTGGAGGGAGAAAAATCATCCCATGGAAGAAAGAAGGTGTACCACAAAACAATGGCAAAAGTGATGCCTATGTGACTTTGAAGGGGGCAGGCAATGGCTTGACTAGATTCGGTGCTCACGCTAAGGAAAAGCAGTAGGTTGGATTGTTGGATTGTAGGGTGGGGCAAGAGGCAACAAGAATAAGAGAATTTTGGTTTTCAGAAGGCAAAACAGCACTTTCCATCACAGAAGTCTCTCGGTTTTAAGATGCAACTTTGATGTATTTTTATAAGGTTTGATGGGGAAACATTTACGTAGCCCCTTTATAACTGCAATATGTCTTATTTTGGTTGTGAGATTATTTATTTGTTATTTACTCTACAAGTATCCCTTGAACTTGGGGAAGAAAAGAAAAATTGGGGTGGTTTGTGTTTTATTTAAATTATGGGAACAAAGGAGGCAGGTGATTTCTCCATCGCCCTGGCAACTATGCAAAAGGTTTCCCATGTCTCCGTCTCCCCTCTATTTCCAGGGCAGAAGAGGTTGGGGTGGTTAGTAGTACTTTGCAGGACTTCAGGTGATATTCATTTCAAAGAATCTTTATTAGGTTCCACGGTGGATAAGACATAATTTGGGGACTTCAGGATCGTCCCTCTCCACTGACCTACAGAAGAGAGATTTCTGGGTCATGCTTCAGGTGGAGGGCAGTGGGTTTTATGGGAGGGGTAGTTTCCCCCTTCCTCTCTTGGCTCTTAATACTGGCCCAACAAAATGACTTAAGACAGATTAACAAGAGAAAAATCAGTTTTAATACGCACAGGAATTCACATAAGCGTGAGAATACAAAGCCAGTAAGGCAAGATGAGGCATATATTCATTCCAGACTAAGGAGAAGAAGGTAGGGGTCATAGGAAGGTAAACTACGGTCTGGGGTGGTAGTTCTTTCCTAAAGCCTGGTATCAGACTTTCATCTTAAATTCGTCTAGCAGTTAGAAGGAAGGTTAAAAAGTTCTTCACAGAGCTTTCTGGGCCTTAAAAAGAACCAGCTTAAAATAATCACTATCCCAAAGAGGCATCTTTTTTGGTTGCAGACTTCTGCTTTTCAGTGTCATGCTCCTGAGAGAGCACGGTAGTGCTGGAAGCATGAAACGAAGATGGTTGGTTTTGTTGGTAACTAACTTTACCAAGTTTCACTTGTTTGTGGTGAAAGGTGCTGGGGAAAGAGAGAAGGCCACACAGCCGTCAGTGCAGGTTGCCCTGGCCACTGCAAACTGGTGGGCTGCGCCAATGGGCCTCAGGCGTTAGACTTTGGTTTCGGGATGACGAAGCCAACCTGCTTAGTAGGCAGCCGCCTTTCTCCTTTGTCCTTGCACTTTGCGCTCCACAAGATGCTTAACCAAATGACATAAACAACCGCTAGGAGGTATCCGAGCTGTGCGTCGGCCGCCGAGGCAAGCATAAAAGGCTCACGTTGGGTCCCTCCGCTCCGCGGGTCCAGGCGGTGGCACTTTTCCAAGCTGGCGATGAACTAGTGCGTGGAGTGAGAAAGACATCTGAAAGCAAAGGACCTTTCATCCAAAAGGTGGAGTTGACGGCCGCGCCTCCAAAGCATTGTCGCGTCGGGAGGTCTGCGTGCGTGGGGACCAGCTGCCTGCACATCTGGATGCAGCAGCGCTTTCCCCTGCAGGGCGGAGGCGAGGCGGAGGACCGCGCC